TTGGTGCCGTTCAGTGATATGAAAAACTTTCCCTTTTGGAGAAAGCTTGCCACATACTGGACGAAGGTTAAGGGGAGTTTGTGTAGGTGGAGGAGTTTCCAGATTAACCCCTCGTGCCATACTTTGTCGAACGCTTTTTGAATGTCCAGTGGAGCCCTTGTCCTGGGCAGCGATCGTGGCATCTTGAATTAGCCTGGCAGCTTGCAGCACGGAAACATGTTTTTGCATGAAACCAAACTGCTCTCGAGGAATTAGTTGGAGTTCGGAGATTAGGTCAAAGAGGCGGCTTAGGAGTTTTTCGGTGATTTTGGAGAGGCTGATCGGCCTCCAATTTTGCGGGAAAGTCTTGTTTTTGGAGGGTTTGGGGATTAGGATGACAGAGGCGGTTTTCCATAGGGTTGGGAATGTTCTGAGGGTGATGGAGGCATTGATTAGAGTAAGGAGTTGATTAAGGAGGTTTTCAGGGAGAAGTTTGAGGGCTTTGTTGGAAATTTGGTCGGGGCCGGCATTTTTGCGGGTTTTGAGTGCGCTGATTTGGGCTTTGAGTTCGGGGAGCGTTACTGGGGGTATGGCCGGGGAGTTTGGGGGAGTTCGTTCCTGATTTCTCGGTGGATGTTTTCAACCTCCTCCTCAAAATGGGGGTCGTCCGTCTGTGACATGTTGGGCGAAAACTGGCGTTCTAGGTAGTCGGCAAAAGCTTCTGCTTTTTCCTCGTCCGTATAAACCAGTCCCCTCTCGCCATGTATGGGGGGAAAGTAAGTTTTTGTTGTTCCTTTCAAGGCCCTGGAGACTTTCCAGGCGTCAGTGTCGCCCGTTGGGATGTTTTCCAAGAATTCGGACCACTTTTCGTTTTTCAGGGAGTTAATTTGGATTTTGATTTGTTTGGAAATTCTGTTAGCTTGTTTATTTAGTTCGGAGTCTGCAAATTGTTTAGCTCTACGTTTGAGTTTATTACGCGATTTGATTAGTGTTTTGATTTTGGGTGGGAGGCTGAAACGATTTTGGTTTTTGTTAGTTTTTAGGGTTGTGGCTTTTGAGAGGCCGGCGGTGATGGTTTTTGTTAGGGTTTTAGTGAGGATGTTGAGGTAGTTAGCATTTTGCGGAAAGTGGTCCAAAATTTGAGCCTCTCCAAGGTAGTATGATAAGGCGTCCCAGTCAATGTGGGGGGTTGGGGCAAGGGGGTTGCAGGCGTATTGCTCGTTTATGTGGATGATGATGGGATTGTGGCCTGCGTTGAGAGAGTCGGAGTTGGTTAAGGTAATCGTGTGGGAGATGCCTTTGGCAAGTTCGATATCCAGTATGTCGGGGTCCTGTGGTCAAAGTGTGTGGGTTCAGTGGGCGCAAAAATTTCGAAGTTTAAGTCTTGTGCGTATTTGAGCAGTTTATGTCCCTCGGCGTTGTTTTTGCGGCAACCCCAAGAGACGTGTTTTGAATTTAAGTTACCTGCGAGAAGAGTTGGCAGGCTGTTGTCGAGAATGCTGTCGTAGTCCTCTGAGAAGTGTGAACTCGGGGGGCTTGTAAGCGCAGATTATTCGTATTTGGGAGTTTTCCATATTCAGGATAATGGAGGTGTGCTTAATGACGGTGTTCGCGGTTGGTGTCGTTTGAGAGTGGGCCAGGGAACTTTTAATTATGATGGCGGTGCCCCCATTTGCAATTGACGCATTTAGCCGGGATGTCTCGAGGCTTTTTGCATTCCAGATAGAAGTGGCCCTCAGCGCACTTGTGACAGGCGGGTTTTGCCGCACAATTGGACATGGCATGGCCAAATTTTTGGCACTTTTTGCACGGTGGAAAGTGCCTGGTGTTGTTTGGTTGGGAGTTCCTTTGGTGGGATGGTGGGATGGGCAAGGTGTGCGTGTGAAATTCCACCTTTTCACGCGCGAAGAGTTTTGTGATTGCCCGGTGATCGTCGGTGGTTAGGGGGTGGATTTGGATGCCGAGAGAGACTTTTTTTGTGCGAGAAGATTCCGCACGTTTTTCGGGCTGGTGGTTCTGAACTTGGCGATTGGGAGCTGGGGGCCGAAGAGTCTTTCAGAGTTGGGGTGGCAGAAGTTTGGGGGGTTTGTTTTGGGGTTTGTTCGGGGGCGTCCGCATGCTGAACCATGTAGTGGTGTAGAGCCGCGTTTGAAGTATTCGGAAAGTTAAGCGCAGTCTTGGCCGGCAGGGCCGGGAATTCCTCAACTTCCATTTTTTCAGACACTGTCTGGACTGGGGTAGTCTGAGGGGGCTGGACAGTTTGTACCGAAGTGTTTTTTTGGTACTCCAAAGTGAGTAGCCGGGTTAGCTCTTGTATTTGGGCGGCATGGGTTTTGATGCGGTCGTCTTGTTTGGAATTGCGAAGCCGCATGGCTTTAATTTCAGCTCTGAGTGTCTTTAGGTCCGGGTCTCTGGTAGGAAATTTTGCGGATTGGGATTTGGTCTTACCCTGTTTAGTCACGGTACTAGCACTAACACTATTCGAAGTGCGTGTGTTCGTATGAGCGATCGCGGCTTTCGTCGCTAGATGAATCGCCCATTTTAGATGAAGTTGAACGAAGGAGGAAGTGCCGGAATTTCAAGCAGGCAACGCCAACGATGAACTCCCGAACTTATCCTGGAACTGCACTGGTGACTGAGCAGGGGCTTTCGGGAGCCCTTGGGTACCTGCACGTGCCCCTGAAAGAGGCACATGCTCGAATTTCTTTTTAATGGAACCACGTGGTTCCGGTGGGTTCGCAAACACGAAGCAGCGAAGCTTCAACACTGAGGTTGGGACGTGAGGATGACTCACTTTTGTTCCAAATAAAAAAAAAGACACGCAGTTTGGGAGTGTTGTTCATCGGTCGAGAGATGATGAGCAAGTGCCAATGGTGGTTCAACAACTGGATCCCCTGTCGCATTTATGCGGCCCCGCATAATGATTCAAATGTTTTGGCGCACACGCTGTTTGCCGCAAAACGCCTTTCCAATCTAGATTAAGGGCCGTCACCTCTTCTTTCCTATTAACATTGTTGTCATGTTTAAAGATCTCAATGGCTTCTCTGGTTAGTCTCGGGTAAGACCGTTGAGATTGGTGCAAAATGTCTACTTCGTCGGAACGTATCTGGTGGCCGTCTAGAAGTGCGTGCTCCGCTACTGCTGATTTTTCGGTTTGTCCTAATCTGCAACTTCTTTTATGCTCCGTGATACTGGTGTTTACACTACGTTTTGTGGTGCCGATATATGCTCTGCCACAACTGCATAGAACTCTGTAGACTCCTGGTCCTGATAAAGGATCCCGTTTGTCCTTGGCCGATCTCAAAGTCTGTTGGATTGTTTGAGTTGGTTTAAAAACTGTTTTAACTTTGTGCTTCTTCAGTATCCTGCATTCCATTCTGCATCTCCAGTATTCTTGTTAATGCTTCCATAGTTTCTTGGTAGGCATCTTTTATTTTTGCAGTGGAAACTTCAATATTTACTTGTACTCACTTGTACAATACTAAAACTTTGAAAGAACTAATTTCCAATAGCCAAGTTCACTTTTAGGCTCGGAGGATCAATAATTACGTAGCTATGTAAAACTAAAAAGAACAACTTTAAGTAAGTTGTAAGTTTAATCAAATTAATTGTTCTTCACTTTAGACTCAATAATATTATAGGTTGTAAATCTATAATACTGTACCGTGGATGGCCGAGTATTAAACTATTTCTTCTGCTTCCAACTTTTATTCCACTCGGTACAACTTTAACTACGGAACAGGAACAAACTAACTTCAAAATTACCGTCAACTTCACAAACGATAACAGTAACAGGCGGAAAACTCGCTCTTCCGACTCCCGGAGTTTAACCTCTTCTGCACTCAGGCGCGGCTGTCACTTCACTCTCCCCGTCTGGTTCTCGTCGTCGCTTATATAGTTTTCTCCAGGTATTCCAGATAGTTTTAGAAATCTCCAGAACAGGTGCGAAACTTTCCGCTTGTCAGTGTCATATTTGACAGTAAATGGGGCCCAAATGGGGCTCAATTTACTGAAATACCATGAATTTCGATCCCCCATTCCAAACGTGAGTACCCTAGGCCATTTCCGTTACAATATGATATAATCCAGTCTAAATGGCTGTGAGACCAAATAATATCATAGGTTGTAGGGCTATAGTATCTCTACCGAATCTTTATCTGATTAATATACAGAAAACGTAAACAAATATTAAATTAATCTACGTCAATAGGTGCGTGATAATGTTGAACCTAAGGTGCTGATGGGCAAGTCCAAGCTCACCGTGATGTGATAACATAGCAAATTTCACTATTATTTACAATAACAATTTAAATAAGGTGCTCATTAATTTGACGTAAATGTAATATTCTGTTCAAGTTGAACAAATAGTCTGACGCATGTCATATGTTAGTCATTATCAAGTCATTAGTACTGCATCGACCAGGACACGAGCGTGTTTTATTTTAACAGGAAAAAACAAGACATATTTCTGTCAAAAGAAAGCAAAATAGAAGAATTTGTAATACATATTTATAGAAAATCCTGCTGCAATAACAGTACATATTTTTTCTGAAACTGTATTTTATTGCTAAATTGACGGTGGTGATCTAATCGTGAAAAAACGTTGAATCAGTATTCCATGGAATGCATCAGTAAAAGATAGAATGTGCTATATTTTTGGAAAGATTATTTCAAGCATCAGTTCAATATGCAAATTATACAAATTGCCCCATTTAAATTAGCTCTTTTTTCATGATAACTAAGAATATAAATGCTTACGGCATACTTTGTGAAAAAGTCATTTGAAACTGTTCGCGAAGAGAGTTGAAAGAACAACACGAAGAGTTAAAGAGCCTCTCCAAAAGATCAGATTTCTAGAAAAGACTCTGTACCTCTAAAACTGTTAGACTTATTGACATGCGGTTTTCGCCATTAATTTTGTGAAAAACCTTGAGGCTCAGACACAGACATCAGTTTTATCTATACATACAATTAACCAAAATGCTATTTATGTTCTGAACTATTTTGCTATATGTACTTACCAACAATTGCATGAAAACTTCCATTAATAATATGTAAGGGACCTCCACTATCACCCTGCAATTTATTTATGCTATAATTTCATTAGTGACTTAATACATTGTCAACACATAACAAAAATTCATAATTTTTGTACCTGACAAGAATCTTTTTTCCCATCTGGGAATCCGGCGCACAACATGTTATCCGTAATCCTGTTATTGTATCCAGTTTTTTTACAATCGCGATTGGACATTATAGGGACGGTCACTTCTCTGAGCTTCATAGCTACTTGACCATGTTCAGATGTGGCTCCCCAACCGACCGCGATGCCTAAAAACATATTTATGAAAGGACTGAGACTGAAAATGGCAAAAATAAATTTATAGGATTATTTATTGTAACATTTGACAATTACAGCAGCATTAAATAAAAGCGAAAATCTAATAGTTGATTGAAATTATAAGATCATAACTAACTGACTAGTTGAGTACAAGACTACTCTGTAAATAGGAAACATCGTTGAACATCAGCGGAACCCCGGCGCGACCGTTAATACTGGAGGACGGTACTAGACCGGCTACATCAGGGCTACTTCATAGCTGGAACTTAAGATGGCGCGGTGGTACTTCCGGGGCAATGGCTGGGCGTTGTCCAGAGATGATTGGATTCTCAGTAATTGATGGATTCAGATTGTGCGAGGCGTGGTCGAATTGAAAAATCTTGTATTAATTACTTTTACGAATTAAACCTGACAATAAATTAAACATAGCAGGTTCAGAAGTGGGATTGGAGACTCGCGACATAGGACCGGTGATCGTTTTTAGTGAAACAGTGGTGTATTGTGATTCAAAGCAAGTGTCGTTTTGGTGTCGCGAACAATCCCGTATGGCGGCCGGCAAGGCCGATGCTCAGGATACAGAAAATATTCTGGATTGTGAGTCAGAAGAGGAGGAGACCTCCTGAGACTCTTTTTTGGCAGAAATCACCCAGAGCTCAATGGCGGCGGAAAAAGCGAAGGCGGTCAAAAGAGCGATTTTGGAGGAACGCACTAGAGCGGCGACATTAGGCGAGTTTGTTCCCAGTCGTTAAAGTAGCGTTAGGGCGTCGCCGTGTACTCTTGCATGTCGTGGACCCACAAGGGATGAGGCAGGTGCGCAAATTATCGAGCCCTTCGATCCGGACAGCAATGATTATATCGTATATCGATGGCTGGCGACGATGGACCAACTGTGCAAAATTCATGGCTAGTCAGAGTACGAGTGGGCTTCTTATATGCAGGATCCTCAGACTAAAGATAACGTTCATGCAGAATGTCACAGTGAAACCCAGCAGGAGGTTAGTGCTTGTGCAGCGCTCCAGTTAGTGGTCCACGATGGTGTTCATCTCTGCATGTCGTATCTGGTTGGGACGAGGCGATTTGAGAGGAACGGTGTGAAACCAGGCGAGAGACAAAATCAGGAGTTTCGAGATTTTCACCACCTACAGATGTACATAAAGTGCGACAATTTTTGGGATTGGCAAGTTCTTTTCGGAAATTTATTAAGTGTTTTGCCGTAATTGCGTGACCTTTGTCATTCGATAGAGCTACATACGAATACTTACGACGCTACATACGAATGTTTATAGGTAATTCACATTGGCAAAGGCGACAGAAAAATTGAATAAAGTGTTAGACAAGCGCGGAGTCCGAGGCGAGGGATGAAAAGCTTCCTGAGATTGTAAGGGGCATAAATGCGACTGTGCACAAGAGCTGAGGATACTCACATGCTCAGCTCATGTTCATGACACAATTGGCGTGGAGGTAGCTCCACGATGCTGATATAGAACAAGAGGAAGACAATCCTCTCGACGTTATGAAGGCGGCGTTACTTCACTGGCGACAAAAGACGACTGAAAACCTGACAAAGGCAAGTAGAGCAATGGAAGCACGATAGGACCGTAGGCGCAGGACAACATTAACTAGTTATAAAGTGGGAGATTTGGTATTGTGGCGTAACCCGACTACTTGTTCGAACGATAAGAGTGTGAGTCGGGAACTCACTAACAAGTATAATGGCCCCTGCCGCGTGGCAAAAGTAATTGGTAGTGACTGTTACTTAATCATGACGGCGAAAGGCATGGCCGTGGCGGCAGTCGATTTTTTTATTGAGATATAGTAGTATATACTACTCCTGGCAATGATGGCAACAGTGGCGGATCAGATGCTGTCGGCGAAATCACGAACCGACAGGATCTGGGGGGCTAGTTGTTAAATATATATATAATAAATAAGGGCATTAATTTTTGCAGGATGGCCGAATCTAATAAAAGTAAAAAATCAGCGAAAGTTTGGCGCGGACGACAATACTGGAGGCCGGTACCAAAACGGGAGTGGGAACGCCGGGACTACTTCATAGCTGGGACATTAGATGGCGTAGCGGTACTTCCGGGGCAATGGCTGGTCGTTGTCCTGGGATGATTGGACAAGGAGTGATTGATGGATTGAGATCGTACGAGGCGTAGCCGAATTACATAATTTTGAATTCAGTATTGTGTGCGCACATTTAAGAAGAAAATTATGCAAATAGTTTCCTCGTAAAATTGGTCTTAATATTGTTTTTTCGATGCTTTGTGCTCATTTTCGGTTACTTATACAGGGTGTTAGGACATTTTTAAGTCTGTAACACAATCTGTAATAAAAGACGTGAGGAAATGCTGTCTTTTTTAAAAATAAAATAAACATAATAGACAAAAATTTTTCAGGCGAAAGTCCCAACAAGAAGTTTGTAAAAAACAACTAATTTTGTTACAGAAATTTAGAATAAATCGATCTAATCATCATTGCATATTCTGTTGCATAGCAAAATACTCAGATAACAGCATGCGTTATTTTAAGTATCAGGGTGATTCAAAATTGGCGTCATTCCTTTTAAGGGGTGATAGAGGCTCCCTTGTGGAGTACCAGAAAAATATAGAAACATTTTTTTTCGAAAATTTCTAGAAGATGTTAACAGTTGAAGATCGAATTTCAACTTTGTTATTAAGCATTATTTTGAAAAAATCCCACGTTGGATTGGTAGCCTATTGGAATACTTAAGCATTCAAAAAGAAAAATTACGATCTTTGCTTCAAATTACGAAAATGAATGAACAATTTTTTGATGAAAAGGCACAGCGGCAATGATGTT